GCCCCAACGTTTATCATCACGGAGTGGCCTGGGTTATCAATGGAAGAGGAGTCCTAGGAGGAGGACTGCCCCTAAACCTCCCCCGGCAGACCCTCCCAGTGAGGTGGACACTCCAGTGTCTCCCCAAAAAGACCCTGAACCAGCACTGGCACTGCCTTCAGTTCTGAAGGCTCCAGTGTGGATCCACCTATAGCAAGACCTGCCACAGTCTCCTGAAGCACCCTAGGAACAGAAGAGGTGAAGGGCTAGGTTTTAAGCATGGACCAGGAACAGAAGTGCACGCCTGGCAGCCTGTGGCCTCCCTTCTGTTAAGGAAATGTTAGGCAGGACTGATAAATCACCATAGGAGCTGGGCCCCAGTAATCCTCATGAGTAGAGAAGTTGACTCGGATTGTGAGGAGGAGCTTAATACGAACATGTAGGGTAAATACCCATATAAAGCTGCAACCAACGTGGGATTAACTTGTCTGCAACCCTGCAGACAATCCTATCAGTTGCCTGACCTGCTTACCTCTTGGAACCTCTCCTACCTGACCTTGTACTGCTTTTGGACTGTGGTTCTGGATTGCACTACTGGCCCCCTGGACTTTGGATAGGAGCACTAGAACCTTTGCTGGATGACCTGTTGTGGCCCAGGCCAGGACTTGCCTCTAACCTGGTGAGCACAGCATTTATGGAACTGTCTTCTGCTGATGCCTCAGAGCTCGTCATCAGCTGAATGTTAATGTGAGCCACTCAGCTTACTGAAGATAGCGTTGGGTTTAATGGGCTTGGAGTGTTGGAGCTCTACATAGGATTGCAGTACTATCTCTTGTTTTCATATGTTTAAAATTTTCCTTTTGTGTGTGTGTGTGTGTGTGTAATGTACATAGTGTCAGTATAAGAGCACTAAATGTTTAAAATCCTTATATCTGGCTTTTGAGAATTGACATTCTATGGCTACAGCTTTTAATAATATGAATTGTATCAACATACCAGCAGCAGCCTGGACTTGAAAATGGGAAAAGCTGTCTTTGCCATGCATATGTACAACCGCTTTAATAATTTTTGCGGATTTAAATAGAGGTGCTCAAAACACTTCAAATATCATTACTGTTGTCAGTATCCATTGGAGGAAAATGTGATTGTGTGACCTGGGTTTTGTTTAAAAATAGCTGTCGGTGTCGATTGTTTGGAAACTTAAAAGGCCTGTGTGGTCATAGTTTATGGTAAGGGCTGGTTGACTAATCTGAGTCGGGAAGTTTTCTAAGGGTTTCCAGTGAAACAATGTATTTGGAAAGATAAGCTGCTATTTGTTGAGAGTGGCACAACCCTTGATTATAACCCCCAACATCTTTTATATTTGGGCACATTGCTAAGTCTTTTAATTAGTTAAATCTGCTTCCATAATCAAAAGCTATCTGCACACCCCAGTGTGCTGTGACGATTCCAAAGATTTAAGTGATTAACTTGGCAAAGGCAGTGGGTGGCTAATTGGATAAGCTTTAATCTTCACACCACCAAAGTAAAACAGAGGAAGATTGGAGGGAAGCTGGAGGCTATGTTGGGTGAGAAGGTAGCTACCAGACATGTCAGATTATCAGTATTAGTAGGTCACTTGTGCAACTGTAATTAGAAGCTATAATTAGTTAGTTGCAAGAACTTGTGCCATTACACATTTTTGGAAATTACAAAGGTTCTGTTTCCTTTGAGATTATGTTGTTTTCTTTCTTTGGAAGTTTGAAGAGCTGCAACTACAGATTCTAGAACAGAGGATTAGGGCTAAAAAGATTTTTTCTTGAAAAGCCCTTTTAAAAGTTTGAAGATTCGTTATGTTGATGCTGAGAAACATCCCTTAGGGAAGTTTTACAAGTGGTTTTTACAATACTAAAGAGAAGTCTTTTTGTTTGTTTTTGCATTTCACTAGATTAAGCCATTTGGATATGTTCTAAATATTTTTTCACACTTGCTCGTGACATGATGTTTCTTTTGGCACATTGTTTCAGTTATCTGCAATATTAGTACTATCACACTGCTTATTAGATGTCTCATCCTATTGATTGCAATGACTGTCCCAGTTCACCGGCCCCGGGACGGTCCCTCCCAACCCTGGAGGCATACCCACACCCCGACTCACCCCAGGAGTGGCAGACGAGCCGGGGAGAATCGACGGCACAGCCCCCACAAAGGATGCGGTATGACGGGCTGACTCCCGGGGGCCCAGGCCAGAATTACACCACCGGCAGGGCGAGGCCCGCCCAGCGAACTCCGTGGTGCCCCTCCCTTGAGCGACGCGACTCAGGCCCCACTGGGCAAAGACAGAAGCCGGCCGTGGCACCCGGCAGCACGGCTCCGGGCCGATAAGACTGCCGCCGGCCCACCGCTGACCACACCCCAGACACCCGAGGAGCGTCCTGGCATATAAATGGGGGCGGAGCTGGATGGCAGAGGAAGGAGCCGGGGAAGATGGGCGGTGGTGGCAGGAGAGTGTGGGGAATAAAAAGAGGGGCTCTTTAAGAGGACCGGGGAGGAAGAACGTGAGAAGGAGACACTACGCACGATGGCTAGAGAGAGAGCAAAGGGGGCAAGTGGTCTCCAGCCCACGGGGCAGAGGGACCTGAGGGGTGCTGCTAACTCCTTTCCCTGCTGTTCTGAGGTCCTATCGCAGCTCCCTTTTGTGAACCCAACCCGACTGCCAGCGCAACCCAGCTAGACACCACGGCCACTGGTGGAATGCCCCCCCCGGCACCCAGGAGAGGCTCGTCACATTGATTCACATTATGCAGTGCACACTGAGTCTCAGAAAGCCTGGTTATAAATAACATAAAGTATAACCTCAATGATATGCACTAATCTTTTTTGAGCATTTTAAAATGAAGAGGATTGTGTCTCAAAGGGGGCTAAACAATGAAATGACCTTCAGGTTCTGTCAATCCTTGCAAGTCTATTGCTTGACTTTAAAATACCTGCTTGAAGTGGTCTACTTTTAGATTACTGGTGATTGTCTGTAGAGAATTTTAAGGAATGTAAGCATTCATTTTATTTGCAAAGGAGCCCAAAATAGTTCAGATTTCAGACCAAGAAGACTTGTGACATTAAACCCTGACTAATTCATTGTGACATGAACAGTCACAGACAAGGGCCATCTTCATCAGATGCATAATGTGCATAACTGAGATTGTTTCAGGTGGACGGCCATTTTTGTCTGTAGTAGCAGTAGAACAAACTTCAAGTCCAGTAGCACCTGAAAGACCCAAAAAAATTCCCAGGGTATAAGCTTCTGTGAGTCAAAGCTCACGTCATCAGAAGAAGAAGAGATTGGATTTATACCCCACCCTTCACTTGGAGTCTCAGAGTGGCTTACAAACTCCTTTCCCTTCCCCTCCCCAAAACAGACACCCTGTGAGGTAGGTGGGGCTGAGAGAACTCTGACACAAACTGCTCTTTTTCAAGGACAGCTGTGCCAGACCTTGTGACTGACCCAAGGTCACATCAGCAGGTGCAAGTGGAGGAGTGGGGAATCAAACCCGGTTCTCCCAGATTAGAGTCCACACACTTAACCACTACACCAAACTGGCTATTTAAGAAATGTAAGCATCTATATATCTAATTCTCAAGTCGCCCCCTGGTGTGCGGATACTTAAATCCGCACATCGGGGGGACCTGGGGGGGAGGGAGTGGTTTGTGCGCACGTGGGGCGGTCCCCACGTGTGCACAAAAATCCTAAATCTGGAAAAAAACATTGGGGGGATGTTTAAATCCCCCCGAAACTCACAGAGCGTCCCCTGCGCATGCGCAGGGAACGCTCTGCGACCACTGCCGCTTGGAAGGTGAGTGGCGAGCCGGGAGGGGGGGCCCTCGCTTCGGAGCCCGGAGCCGGGGAGGGAAGGCCAGAGGGGGGAGATCGAGCGGGGGGCCGGGGGAGGAACCGGCAGGATGGGGGGACGACTTACCTCCTCCTGCTGCTTCCTTCTCCGCCTTCTGACTTCGGAGCTCCATTTGGAGCTCTGCCTCCCTCCCCACCCCCACCCCCGCAAGTATCGCGGGCCCACCCCTTGTTCATTTTATTTGCAAAGGAGCCCAAAATAGTTCAGATTTCAGACCATCAGATTAAGAGAGTACAGGTACCATCAGATTAAGAGAGTACAGGTATTCAGTAAAATAGCAAGAAGGCTATCCTTTAATCATCCCAATTACTAGGGTGTATGTTTGTGTGTCAGAAAGTAATGGGATGCGGGTAACTAAACCATGCAGTAAGCAATTATATGCAGGAAGTACCAGTGTATTTGGCTGCTTTTTTCAAGAGTTTTAGTGCTTTTGATACTGTATGGATCCCCACATGCTAGATGTTCTCCATACCTATCTCCATCCTCTCTGCAGTTAGTCCAAATGTGCTGCCTGCAGGATTAGCACAGTGGGAACAGCAGCTGTCATGCAAAGCTACTGATGGTTACACTAACCTCATAATAATGTGCTTCTTCTGTGGCATTTCCTTTGTAGTTTACAGGTTTGTGTCAACCATTGGTAAGGAAGCTGATGTTTGAAAGTACTCTCATTGTATAGAGATATTAAATTGTCACACTGGGTAATTATATTCACTTGTGCCCTCAGAGTGCTACAAAGCCTTCATTCAGATATGCAGGTTTTATTCTCACTCTCTCCTAAGCACAAGTACAAAAAGCTTAGAAAAACCTGTGTCATTTTAGTTTTGTCTTGTGAGTGCTGTAAGAAATTGTCTCTGGCTTTGTGTTTTTTCTCTGTGCCCAGCTGCTGGATCTCCTTGGTATTTTCAAGTTTGTGCCACCCATTCTGCGAGACAGATGTTGCCACTGATAGTTAAGAAGTTTCAGATGGCCCTTCAGAATCTCTTGTGTGTTACTGACTTCAGAATTTGCATGGAAGTACATGCTTTGTGTTTGCCTGGTATCACACAATGCTGTGAAAAACAGGTGTCAGCTAAACTTTTAACACTTTAAATTATTTCTTAAAATAAAACTTCTCCCCCTTTGAAATGTTTTTAGATCCACCCTAATGACAGGAGGGGTCAAACGAGGTACAACAAACCCATGGCTTGTGGAAGAGCCCGAGGAAACTAGGGGCCTTGGCTTTGCTGATATCCAGCAGCAGCAACAGAGAATCATAGAAGGTGAAACCTTTTCTTTTTGGTCTTTTCATCTCTCTCCCAATGGCTACATGGAACTCCTGGCTGATAGTTGGTGGTTGATAGCATGTTCCTATGAAAGTGACCTGGATAAGAAAATCTTCCCTTGTAGGGTTTGTTTATTTAGTGATGCTTCTTTTATAACACTTGGAGGTATGAATTCCCTGTGTTCAAGGTAGTTTGTCCCTGACTATCCAAAATGTTTGAGCACTTAATGAATGTTTTCTCCGACTCTGAGAGAGTATCTCTGTTTAAGTTCACATGACTCGTATTTGCCTATATGTTTGTGGGCAGCCAGGGAACAGCTTGTCAAGACTGGAATTCCTTAATATCCTGAAGTAATTAGGCACTGAGCTCTGTCTGAGTACCGGTGGCATTTTAGTGCTTGACCGTTCTAGGTCCTGTCACGGCAGGACCAGGGGGCGTGATACAAGCAAGTAAAAGTCCAGGAACAGTCCGAGGTCAAGCCGGGCAAACCAGGTAGCAAGGTTCAAGCAGGTTTAAATCACAGTCCAAAAGCAGGGTCAGACATACCAAAGTTTCAAGTCCATAAATCACAACAATACCAGAGGAGTCAGAGATGAACGCAGGGTCAACAAAGCCGAAGGTCAAAAGCCAAGGATCAAGCCGAGAAGAATTCCACAAGGTCTGGAGCAGAGATGCAAGGATTCAGGTCCTGAACAAACGACGTTGCCAGCACAAATGACTGCTGGCAACAGACTTGCATATATACAGTGCTAGCTAATCAACTCATTAGCTAGCCAGGAGTGAGGACAGGATCCTGTCAGTAATCAGGGCTAAGAGATCTTCTGGCACGCATGCGTGCATTCTGCCTTTGCTCTCTCAGCTGTTGTCTTCTTACATTCCTGAGCCTGGTTACAGGTGGAGGCGAGTCTGATGATGAATTACTGGGCTGCAGCAGAGACTGATCCCTTGCAGGTGTTCCCTGGGAGGCTCTATCCTCCTCACCACTTAGATAGCTTTCAGCTACAGGATCCAGTCTTTGCCTTTCTGCTGCAGTACTGTCCTCAGGAGCCTGTTCAGGGTCCTCAGGAGCCTGTTCAGGGGCATCAGCAAAGGCAGGCATGACATCAGCAGGGGCAGGCATGACAGGTCCCCTTAAAAGCATCCGTCTTCTGTATCTTTGAGTCACTGGCAGAATCTTTTGCTGGAAATAATCAAGCCAACGTATGTTACTTTTCAGACAAGGGAATGTTTTCCTAATCCAGCCTTGTGCAATCGGGATAAAAATCTTGTAGGCCACTCTTACCCTGAAATGACCGTAGTCTTTGCTTATCCACATACCTGGTTCTGATTGCTACATCCTTATTAGCTTGGAGTGGGTTTGCACAGTTTATGGCCCACCAAGCAGAAGCAGAATGTAGCCTGCATGACAATTCACGAGAGCTACCGTCTTGTCTCAGGATCAGATCTGTTGGGAGTATACATGTTTTCCCCCTTTCCTTCTCATTGCAGCTGCTGTTGTAACCCCAACTAGCTCCCAAGGTCCACATTTTCTTTGCTCTTAATTTTATGCCAGCAGTTGTGAAGTCCTTTTGCCTTCAATAAATATTTCCTTGCCACTGATCATATCAAACCTGCTAAAGGCAAAATGTACGAAGGAACTAAATATTCTGCAAGCATTTTTTTTCTGTTTCATATCTGAAATGATGCTTAAAGCCACAGTTCTAATAAGCCAGCTTTCAGTATGAATGTTTTATGCTATTTTAGAGTTCGCTTAGAAACCTTGCAGAGACATGGTATGTATGAAAGCCATCCTCTATATGTGTTCTAGAAAGCTGCACCCAAGGTAGAAAGGCTTCTGCCCAGAGCTCTGTTGAACTTTCAGTCAGCCATTAATTTTTTGCCTTGTTTGCTTCAACAGCAATTGGCACATATCCCTTTTCTTCCTGTGCTTGTGAACAATTTTCACTCATTCGCAAATGCAGTCCAAACTAGGGGTTGCAATACCATCAGGGGGATTACCCCCTCCCCTTACATTTGTGGGAAATAATGGTCATGTACAAAAGAGAGCTGTTATGCAGCTGAAGTGTATTTCAGTGATTTTTAAGAGGCTAAAGGTGTGGTATTGCCATGTGCTCCAGATTGCAGTAGAGGGTATTTTGTAGACCTAGGGAGAGATTTATGTTGTGGCTGCATTTACTTGTATCTCCCTCTGCCAAGAGTTGGATTATCTCTCCTATGAATGCTACATTTGCACTCCGCTTGAAAAACTCTTTGGATTCCTTGGTGCTTGCATCACCTATTTGTTTCTTAGTCATGTAAAACCTTCCTTAGAAAATCAAAAGGCTTCATAAGGGATGCCTGAGTGTGCCAGAAAGTCCAGTACTTTTAGGATTGAGGATCAGCTGTACTTTCAGTTCCTGAAGGGTTTGGGACTTAACCAAAGTTTCTCAAAAAGAAAATACCCAGCACTGCCTGCATTTACCCTGCTTCTTTAGAATGTTACTGTTGGGAATTAATTATCTTTGGTATCAATACAGTTTACCACTTTGAATGCAGCCCTCATACTTCTGCTCAGCTTATGCAGGTTGTTCTTTCTGCCCTATCACTATGCAGGATACAATGTGGGGTAATAGTAAGGATGGGATTTTTATTGATATTTTGTGTTTCTGTACAGAGCAGGATGCCGGTCTCGAAGCTCTCTCTTCAATCTTATCTCGGCAAAAACAGATGGGGCAAGAAATTGGGAATGAACTGGAAGAACAGAATGGTAAGCACAGTAGAAAGAATTAATCTTATGTTATATGTTGACTTCATTGCAAGAAATACAAGCATGCAACAATTACTTACAAAATACCATGTTAGAACTGTAAGCGTCCTTTATTAAAAGCACTAGGAATAAGGCCTGTTGTGGAAATAAATACAACGAGCTCTAGAAAGAGGCTCTGGGAGAGTGGCAAGGCCTTGGGCACTCAGTGTCAATGTGCTGTGGCGACCTGTGGGGGAACATTTTATACAAAGAACCACAGTCATCTTACAAACATAGGTAACTGCCATTTCGTGACACCTACCAACAACCACTGAGGGAAGAGTTAATCCCACACAGGAAAAGTGTCTTCGTCAAGAGAGAAAGCCTTTTGCCAGTAATTCTGACAGGGCACAGTGGCTGAAGGGGGAGTAGGTGGGGAAGAGGAGCAGACCCAGCACCCGGCCAATGGCACGCGAGTTCTCTTGAGTGACAGCTGAAGGGCCAATGGCTGAGGGAGAGCATAGAATCTTGCCACCCCAAAGCAGGATTATAATATAGGAGATATTAGTGCTTTTATAACTGTGATGTGTTTACCACATAATTGAATCTTCTTGAGAAAGGTGCCTTTCCAGTTTTAACTGAACCAAGATAAAGATGATTTCTCCAGGAGAATTCATTTTTGCCTTACCTATGGAGCCAAGGAAGAGGGAAACAGCAACACTTTCAGGTCACCAGGAGACAAACACTAGATAATTCTTTGGGAGGGGGGGCGGAAGAAAATTATTCTGTTTCTTCTCTCCACCCCCTCCTAGGGTGGAATCCAGCAATCATTTCTGCTGATGGGAGGGATTTCTGGCAGCAGGGCTTTTTCACCTTCCCCCCCTTCCTGTGAGCTAAAAATCGCTCCCCTCACATTTTTGTTAGCAAAAATTGACCTCTCTATCCTACCCAGTATCTAATATATTACCAGAAATCCTTTCTGGGCCAGTAATGGACCACTTTAGCCAACTCTCCGAGGATGAGGTTGATCCAACTCCCAGCCCTGGACAACATCACTAACACTAATGCCAACAGTGACTAGTCTGGGTGTGATTTTGAATGCTTCACTTTCACTGTCGTCTCAAATCACGAATGTTGCCAGAGGCATTTTTCCACCTCTGTCAGGTGAGACAGCTGGCTCCCTACCTCTCTCCTTGTGACTTGGCTACCGTGATTCAGGCAGTGGTCATCTCCAGGCTGGACTACTGTAACTCAATTTATGCAGGGCTACCCTTGAGACTGACCCAGAAATTCCAGCTGGTCTAGAATGTGGCTGTGCGTATCCTTACAGGAACATCATTGGGGGCCATATACAATTGGTGCTCCACCAGCTGCACTGACAACCAGATGAATTCCAGATCAAGTTCAAGGTTTTGGTTTTAACCTTCAAAGTCCTATGTGGTCTGGAACCACCATACCTTCAGGACTGTCTCTCCTGTTATGTCCCTCAAGGAGCTTTATACTATATGGACCAACATCTTCTGGTTATCCCCGGCCCAAGGGATATCCACTTACCCTCAACCAGAGCCAGGACCTTCTCTGCTCTGGTGCCGGCCTGGTGGAACACTCTCCCAAGTAAGATTTGGGCCTTTCGGGACCTAATGCAGTTCTACAGGGCCTATAAAACGGTGATGTTCTGCCAGGCCTATGGTTGAGGCAGTGGAAGTCCATCTGGTTTGGGCCTCCTCCTGTCCAGTTCTGTTGTCATCTTGCCCTGTTTGCCTTCTCATCCACCCAGTGCTAGGCAACAGCTATTGATGTACATAGGCAGAGCCTCTGCCGAGAGTGAAGGTATTAAATTGTGCTATTGTCTGTCATTTGATTGTTTTAACTATGGATATATATTTATAGGGTTTTTAATGATTATTTATATCTGTGTCTGTTGTATTTATATTAGCGTTATTGTATTGTTGAAACCCACCCTGAACCTTGCTGTGCAGGGGAGGGTGGTCTAGAAGTCAAATATAATAAATAATAGTATATGGCACAGTAAAATGGCTGGATGTCAACACATCATAATATCTTTGTGCTGCATATATCCATCCCTGTCTCCATTTATTTATAAAGCAACACATATTTTTCTTATGGAGATTATCAACAGGAGAGGGAAACAGAAGGCCAGCTCCACCACTGTATTCTGGAGTAAAAGGTAGTGTCTGTGCCTCTGTGGACTTTTACAATGTAAAGTATAAATGGTAGACTGCTTTGCAGCAACAATACTTTTTTTTTTTTACTTGCCCAGATTGGGCAAAGTTTATTATTTTTTAACAAGTTACATAGAAAAGAGCCATACATTTAAAAATAGCTAGCCAAATATCTCGCTCACATCATCATATTTGCATACAGATTCCCATTCCCCCCCCGTTTTAATTTGTATTCAATAACATACACTATTAAACCAAGCATCTATTCCCATTATAAAACTAATTAATCAATGTTCTATCTACTATATTTCATTTTATCAGTACTATACTATTATTCTATTTTATATCAATATAAAAACCGCAGAAAAGAGACAGGCAAAACTTAGCAGTTTAACTATGCTAAAGAAGGCATTTATTTCTTCTAAAAACAATCTAGTCCCTTTAAATATTCTTTCACATTTTTAACACTGTTAGTTTTCAAAATCTGATTAACAATCCAACTCTCACACTGACAAAGCCATATAGCTTTCACCTTATCCTGTAACATCTGGTCTTCTCTCTCAAAATAATTAACATCATACACATTCTCTAAATAAGTAACCCATTAATTATATTTTCCTTGCAATTCCTCTCCAAACATTCAGACTGCCCATATCTTTTCATCCTCCTTCAATTAGGACATTACATGTACATTGTAATTGTTTCAGATTAAAAGTCCATGTTTTATAGCTTTCATTAGTCAGTCAAGACAATGCAAAAGCTGGAAATACTTTGCTTCAAGTTATATTCATAAATCAGTTGGGTATCAAATAATGTAAATCAGGTGTAGAAACACAGAGTAGATAAACAGTTCTCAACAGCTTAAAAGTTCCAGTTTTAGTAAATCTTTATCCCTTCAGTCAGTTAAAGCCATGCAGACTGTCAAAAAGTGCTACTTCCACATTTGTAAAGTTTAAGTTTCTCTTGCTTTCTTTGAAAATGTCTCATCAAAATCGTTGTTCTTTTGTGTCTTTGATTTTTGAATGTCCCACCCTCTTCTGGCCTGCCTGTGTACAAAAATAAGCAGCCTTGTGTCTCGAACCCTGCATCGGCTACATTATTTCCAACCAGCCCATCAAAGTAGTAGCCGGGTAAATCTCTCTTTGTAAATATCGAATGTTGAAGCAGGTCCCGTCGTTTTCCATCTTGTATAGTGTCTGACATCATCTGATTTTTTGCCTCTGTGATCTCCTCTCCGAAGCCCTCCCAAAGCTCTCCCAAGGCTTCCAGGACAGCAGTTGTAATTTTTTCCGTCAATTGGCTTTTTAAACAGTCCCAGTAATCATCTGAGAACGTCAGTATATTTCCATCTGTCAAGCAATCTCTCTCCTCAGATGCAGCCGAGAAAGCCATCTCGCACGTCGGCAGACACAGCAGAACAACATTCACTGTGTAACTACGCAGGCAAAGAAACTACAGCCCGCCACCATTTTAGCTCCACGAGAGCCTGTTTCCCTCTCCCTAATTCCAACAAAGTTCTTTAAGTGTTAAGTAAGTCTCTGTAACGATATTTCCCAGATAGCAGACAGAAGATTTCAAAGTGTTATTTTGCCCCTTTGTGTTTGATGCAATAACACTCTGCCTCGCAGCCCACCGTGGGAGTCTTCCCCCTCCCTTTGCCTCTGGGAGAGATTTATAGGGGCAATTAAATATCCTTTTCCGAGCTTGATGATTATAGATAGAAGAAAGGTTACTCACAGGGTCTTTGCCAGGATTATTTGTGGTGAGGTATGGAGGCTCTTATTTGGGGTTTGAAGTAGCTTTCCAGCCGTGGTCCTTCAAAGCTTCTGCTTCAAGACGAACTGAAACCTTTGCCCGCTGTTGCCACAGACGGGGGACTCAGTTTAAGTCTTTGGTTTCCAGTTCCAACTCCCGAGGATCTGGTGGACCCTTGTCAAATCTGGAGGAGTCCAGAAATGTCAAAAAGGTCCCCTAAAAAGACTCCAAAAGCTGGCGAGATCCAGAGCACTTGGACACTCAACCACCTCGCTACCCCATCGCCCCGCCTCCCCCAGCAACAATACTTTCAAGCATCTGCAGTACCTATGTGGTACTTTCCATTCACGGAGGCAACTATATGTGTGAAGGTATATGCTGTAGTTACTATTTTGTAGTTTTATTATTCCTTTATAAACCAATAGATGGCAGCAGAGGACAGAAAAAGAGCTCTTTCCTTACATTTCCCAGGTATTTGTTTTCAGTACTGAACTGTTTAAGCTCCTCATCAAGGCAGGAAACCTTTCCATCTTCTGCCTTCCATCACCTGTTTAGTTAGGGACCCCTGCTCAGGTCTCTGGCTGTCCTTTGGTGGTAGGCTTTCCTTCTTTGGAGGTTTTTAAACAGAGGCTAGATGGCCATCTGACAGCAATGCTGATTCTGTGAGCTTAGGCAGATCATGAGATGGAGGGCAGGAAGGGTTGCACCAGTGCTTAGTTCTTACGACCCTTTCTTACACTTCCAGGGAAATGCTGATTGTCACTTTTGGGATCAGGAAGCAATTTTTCTCCTGGCCATTGCCTTCCTGTTATTTCTTGGTGGTCTCCCATTCAGATACTAAGCAGGGTGGGCCCTGCCTAGCTTATGAGATCGGGTGAGATCGGGTGAGCCTGGGACATCCAGGGCAGGGCACTGGAGTGGAACAGAGTAACAAAATGGTAAGTTTGCAAGGCAGGAAATCATCAGGGAAATTGAAGGGTTGTCATCTGTTTAACAGGGAAGGGCATGTTCAATTACATAGGTGAGCTCTCTCCCCATAAATGCTATAGTAGGGTATTATAGCTGACTCTCTGCAGCCATCGA